AGCAGCCTAGATTTTTAAAAGGTCAGAAAGAAAAAAAGAAAAAAAGCTTTGCTTTTGTACCTGTTTGCCTTTGCTCTCACCAGCAGGTCTGCCGACCCTGTTGCTGTGACTGCTGTCACATTCATGTGCTGATATCAGAAACTGAGTTTCTTTAGGCTTCCACTGCGCACTAAAGACCAGTGGCTCTCCAGGAATTTCCCAGGGTTTCAGTGACATATTAGGACTACTGAGGCACCATCCTTGTGGACTGAGCAGCTACTGGGTTCTCACCCTCTCCAGTATGGAGAAGACAACCACTGTTGGACTGTCCAGATTGTATCATGCAGCCAATCTTATAAATCCCCTTTTAATATATACATTCATATATATATTAATATATATTAATATAGATCAGCTCTGTTCCTCTAGAGAACTCTGGCTAATACAGCACTCAGTAACATATCTTAAAATATCCTAAAAGATCTTCACAGACAGTAAAAGAGTCATAACACAGCTATGAAAGAGAAACACACAAATGTATAAATTTAATCAGACTTTTAATCAGACCTCAACGTTTCTCTTTCAGTACTGTCAAAACAAGTAGGTAGCAAATCAGTAAGGATATAAAAGACCTGAACAACATACTCAAGCAATGAGTCTCAGAGAGATCAACAATAGAGTACATATTCTTCTCTTGTACACATGGAGCATTCATGAAGATTGTCAATAAAAAAAAAAACTTTAATTTTTTTTGAGACAGGGTTTCATGCATCCCAGGCTGGGCTTGAATTCACTATGTAGTTGAGAGTGCCCATGAACCTTCCATTTTCCTGCCTTCTCCTCCTGAGTGCTGAGATTGCATCATACCCAATTTATGTGGCACTAGGGATGGAACCCAGTGCTTTGTGCATGCTAGGCAAGTACTCTACCAACTGAACTACATCTTTAGTCCCAAAAATTTTAATAGAATGTAACTCTGGAACCACAATGAAATTAAACTAAAAATCAGTGGAAAGCTGGGATATTCCCAAATGTTTGAAATATAAAGATTACACTTCTAATTATCACATGGTACAAAGAGAAAGTCAAGGAAAATTAAAAATTCTTTGAACAAATGAAGATGAAACTATCAAAATGTATGTGATACAAGTAAAGGAGTACTCAGAAGAAAATTTATAGCGCTGAATGTGCACACTGGAAAAGGAGATTGACAATCAGTGCGGCCCCTGAGAGGCTGCCTGTGCTCTGGCAGATGGTCCTACATGCATGCACTAAGCAGCACTAAGTAGACTCAGTGGATTTAAAAACAGAGCACATGAAGTTGGGAGGGGAAAGTGGTGGTGGGGTTAGGGGAGGAATTTGAAAGGAGGTGATGGAGTATGGATATGATCAAACCACATTATATAAATGTATGAAATTCTCAAATAATAATAATAATAATAATAAAGAAAATCAGTAACTTAAGCTTCCATCACAGAAACTACAGAAAGAACAACTGTGTTCATGGGCACACAGTTAAAATCAGTAAAATTGAAACCAGGAAACAATAAGGAAATGAATATGTGCAGGTTTTTACTGCTGTTTTGTGTGTGTGTGTGTGTGTGTGTGTGTGTTTGAGACAGGGTCTCATGTAGCCCAGGGAAGCTTGAACACATAATCCTCCTGCTTCTAGCCCTCCCAGTGTAGGAGGGATTAAAATTACACACTACCATGCCTCTCCCTTTTATAAAAGAAATAAAATTTATGGGGCTGGAGAGATGGCTCTAGTTAAGAGTACTTAATTACTCTTGCAGAGGACCCAGGTGCAGTTCCCGGCACCTACATCAGGCAGCCCAAAACTACAGTTTCAGGGGATCTAATGCCCTTTTTCTGACCTCCATAGCACTTGCACATATGTGATGCACATAAACTCATGCAGGCTTACACACAACACATAAGCAAAAAAAAAAATCTTTAAAAAGAAATAAAATGAACAAACCTATATCCAGGCAAACCAAGGAAAAAGAGAGAATAAATAAATTACCATATCAGATCTTAAAGATGAACCATTAGCACCAATATAAAGGTCATAAGGGGCTAAGGATGTAGCTCAACTGGTAAAGTGCTTGCCTAATATTCTGGAAGCCCAGGGTTGGATCCCCTTCACTGCCTAAACTGGAAGTGGTGGAACATGTAATCCTAGCACTTGGTAGGTAGAGGCCGGAGGATGAGAAGCTCAGGGTCATTTATTTTTTGTTGTTGTTGATGTTTTGTTTGTTTTTTTGAGACAGGACCTCACTATGTAGCCCTGGCTGGCCTGGAACTTGCTATTTAGACTAGGCTGGCTTCGAACTCACAGATATTTGCCTGCCTCTACCTCTCAAGTGCTGAGATTAAGGGCATGTGCCACCACACTCGGCAAGTTTAAAGTCATTCTTGAGTACACAGTAAGTTCAAGGGTAGCCTGAGATACATCAGAACCTGTCTCAAAAAGGGAGGGGAAGGCTGCAAGGTAGCTTAGTAGACAAAGGTACTTGCCACCAAGCCTGATGACCTGAGTTCAATTCCCAGGTAAAAGGAGAAAAATAACTCCTGCAAGTTATTCTCTGATCTCCATATACATATCACAGTACTTGTGTGTGCATATAAACACAAATACATATATACATACATACATACATACATACAAGTATACACAATAAATGTAATGCTTTTTTTTTTTTTTTTGGTCTTTTTGAGACAGGGTCTCCCTATAGCCCCAGCTGGCCTGGAACTCATTATGTAGACCAGCCTGGCCTTGAACTCACAGAGATCTGCCTGCCTCTGCCTCCCAAGTGCTGGGATCAAAGGTGTGTATCGCCATGTCTGACTTATTAAAAAAAAATTTTAAAGCAGAGTAATATGATAATATAAACTCTATTCTAAGAAACTCAAAACAAGGTTTACTCAAGAAAAAAAAGAGCTTCCAATATTCCTATTTATCTTAAAGAAATAGACTATACTATTAAAAATCCCCTAAAAAGCCAGGCATAGAGGCTCATATCTATAATTCCAGTACCCAGGAAGCCTCAGCAGGAGGATTGCCATGAGTTTGAGGTTAGCCCAGTGAGGTCCAGGCCAGTCTGGACTATAGAGTAAGACCCTGTTTCACCCCATCCATCAAATCCCCTAAACAAGAAAAGTCTAGATATGAATAGTTTCACCAGTGGATTCTTCCAAGCACCAACTCACCAAGTCATCAGGTGACATCACAGGGATACATCATCTGGTTCTCATGTATAATGCTAGCCTGTGCTTAGGAGGGAACTTCACCATGGAAACCCCACTAGTGCAAAATGATGGTAAGAAAAACATCAAATACAAATGGAGGGACATTCTACAAAATCAGTTGACTAGTAATTCTCAAAATCTTCAGAAGACTCATGACAAATTAGGAAAGACTGAGAAATTGCTACAGACTAGAGGATACTGAGGAGACAAGACAACTGTATGAATATGATACCCTGAATTAGATCTTCAATATTAATGGGAAAGTGAGTGAAATCCAAATGGTATCTGCAGCTAATGTGCTCATGTTGACTTCTAACAACTGCATCACAGTAGTATGGGTTAGCAATAGGGGAAACAAATGGAATGAGAGGCACAGACAGTTCTCTGCACTACCCTTACACATTTTCTGTATTAACTGAAAACAAAGATTATTTTTTTAATGTCATCCTATATATAAATTAGGCAGCCTTGAAGAATTCTGAATGGTAAGTGAATAGACTCATGATAGACTCTAAAAATGAAAATAAAAGTTTAAATCTATACATACCTACAACTGCACAATGGTCTACCTATTAAAAAAAGAGAGATACATAGAGAAAAGAGCAGAAGTAGCTAGACTAAGATGCTACGATACTTAAGAGTGGTTAACTCTTGAGTGATGAGCTCACAGATTTAAAAAAAAAGTACAATGAACAGAGATACAGAGATGAGGGACAACTGTTTTTATATTGTATGTTTTTAAAATTACCTCATTACTTTACAGTAGACCAACCCAAATTGCCCATGTTAGTGGTTGATTTATAAAAACAGGTGCTGTAGTCAGATAATGTGACTACTTGACATGCTGTGTCTCTCTTCTGAAGACGCATACTGTCTGGTAGGATGTCAAAAGTTTTTGAGAAGTCAACTAATTGAAGAACTCTGTTTATCTTAAACAATGTTTTCTAAAACTATTTGACTACAGAATTACACTTCTTCAAAACAACTTATTTCAGGAACCACTAGTATGACACAGAATACAACACATGTTGGGGAAATGTGATTTTAGAATCTCTCACTACAGTTTTTTAGGAAAGAAACAGCTGTTTTTAGAGATTTCTTACATTGACTTAGTTTCTGTGTCTCCAAAATCTCCATGGATTGTGCCTTACATGACTTCTTAACTTCTTTTGTTTTGTGTAGCACATGATGATATCTTGGATACTGTCTCTGATAGGCATACAGTTTTAGAATTTCTCCTCTCAACTAGAATTTAATAACTCTGAAAACAAGAACTCTATCTCTTGATTCTTCTGTATTTTCTTCTACTTGTTCATTCCTTCACTCTCTCCTTCAGCACATTTGCTTAGTGCTTCCTATACTCTGGGTACAGTGAGGACCAACACAATAAGGAGCAAACCTGACTGCAGTCTTTACTCTTAAGGAATATAGTTTAGTTGAGGATAGAAAAATGAGCAAAATGGTCAGAAACAGATGTATGATTATAAGCATCAGTAATGGGCTGAAGGAAAGATATCCAATACTCCTCGAAGGGGAATCCCACCCAACCATGGGTGGAAGGAGAGTGGGCAGGGCAGGACAGGTTAATTTGGAAGAAGTCGTGTTTGAGCAAGGCTCTGAAGAATGGGTGTATTTCACTATATAAGATGGAGAGAAGAGGGTGAGGGTAAGAACAGTATCCAGACAAAAGCTCTGGAGTGGAGAAGGCAAACAGAGCTGCTGATGGCCAACAGCAGGCCCCACAGAGGTGACTGGCCAAAGACACTACTAACCATTTGTTTCAGCCTCTTTTCTTCTCGTTTTCTCTCACGTTGAGCTTCCTTTTCTTCTGCCTCTTTCTTTTGACGTTCCTCCTCTTGGGCTTTTAATTGGGCCTGAAGGAGATTAGAAGGCAGAAAAATCAGAACACTTCCTCCGCATAGGAAAAAGATCTTTTATGTTGAAGCAAGTGAAGTATTTACCAAATACCTGCCCTGTCTCTGGAGTTACATATATATTTTATGATAACAAAAAACTTTCACGGGTGAAGTAGAAAGTGCAATGTGGAGACAATTTTTCTTTCATTTCACCAAACCAGCCTACCCTGAAATGGTTAGAATTTAAAATTTTTACTTGGTACATGCAGAATTACTTCTGACAGTCTAGATCAAAACTTTAGAAGGTAAGAACTATTTGCGTTTACAAACTCTCTGGGTCAGGCATCTATCTATAATGTGCTATTAGTGGGTACCTATGAATTTTCTGGTTTAATAGCTGTCATTAACTTCTGTATCATGTCCTTTCTAGTGTGCCAATGAGGTGTACAACCTAATTTATTTTCTTAAAACTATAACTGAATTCAGAGGAATAGGCCACAAGCCTTTTCTAAAGTAGGTCTAACTCTTATCATCTCAGGAGACTTGAATAAGAAAGGTTCTGTTTTTGAGATCTGAACAAATCATTTTGCTTGCCTCAGTTTGCATTCTGAATGTATTACCAATTTGTCTTCTTCTTGTTTTTTCTTCCTTTCTGCCAAGATCCTCCTACGTTCGGCTCGTTGAACTGCTCTCTCTTCCATGGCTAAAAAATAGTAACATAGTTCCAATATATATAAAGAGAAATTCTGTAAAAGAAACTTCTCTATTTAGGGAAAACATTTAGAGTTATCATTAGAGCCTTCTTGTAAGTTGAGTGCTGGCTGTCTCATAAAAAGCAGAGACATAAAACTTACCCAACTCAACAGGTTAAAGATCTAACATCCCATCTTCAGAGATGATGAGCAATTTACAAGTTCGTTGTTTTTGTTTACATTTTTTTGTTTTGGGTCTTTTTTTGAGACAGGGTCTCCCAGTAGCCCCAGCTGGCCTGGAACTCACTATGTAGACCAGGCTGGCCTTGAACTCACAGAGATCTGCCTGCCTCTGCTTCCCCAGTGCTGGGATTAAAGGTGTGTGCCACCATGCTCGGCTGTTTACATTTTTATTAGACTAAAATTCTACTGGTTTAAATAAGATAACATGCCTAGATGGTAGACTTTTAGTATATAAAACTCAGAAGCCAAAATCTTAATTTAATTGTATCTTTGATGAACACAGAAAAATTTAACTTTGTCTAGCAAATACAGAATAGAAACATTCCTTAAATCTCATTTTAAGTGAAGTTGCTAATTCTTCTGAAATCACTGTCCATGTGTCTGTGTATCTGACAGCAACAAGAAAGCTAAAGTCTGGGGTCACGATGAATACATTTTAATGTAGTTTTAAGACCCAGATATCCAGATGGGCAGGAAATGGAAGTGTACCAGGCATTTGGAGAACTGGCATCAGAATGAATTTGAGTGTCAGACTCCTGTTCTTGACAGTTTATTAAATATCGATCCAAAAGAAACAAATGTGCAAGATGGTCTGATAATATGACTCTGTAATCAGTCAGGGCTTTCACAGGCAGGAGGGGCACAGTAACAAGACCATTGAGTTCTCGCACTGAAGACAGCCAATGGTTGCCTTCAGATCCTTGGGCCATGTTACAGAGAAGAGAATTTAAGCCCAAGTTTTAAGAATTAATAAACAAAAAACTCACCAAGCTATTTCTTACAGATATTAAGTGTCTGCTTTGCCACAAATGATTAGTGGTGGTGGCACAGATGGCAGAGTGAGACTGTCCTTAAGAAGGCAGAAATAGACTAGAGGATTAAAGTGAAAGAGAATGAGAAACAGTCTCAGCAATACGTCCTTTCCCCATCTTTTCTAGATTGAATCATTAATGTCTACTTGAAAAATAGATCAGGATTCTAAAACAGGTAAGTCCTTGATCAAACAATAATTTCAAAAACTTATCCCACTAAACTGGACATTTCCTGATCCACCTTGGTGGTGGGCAAAGACAGCATAAACTGCTATCCTGGCAGACATCGGTGCACAGATAGAAAATTTCTGCATTGACGGAAATTGATTGCAGGCACAGTGTCCTTCAGATGTCATTATTTCTTGCTAGGGCAGCAATCTTGCCATAGGCAAAAATAAAAACAAAAAATGTACACCATATATATATATATATATATATATATATGATGGTCATCACTTTGACAACTATTGTATATATATATGCTGTACTATCTATGCACACATACACATAGGTAAGGGACCATGTGATAGGAACAATTAGCAGATTCACTAGGTGGGCTTTAAGGAATGCCTATATTCTCATAGTATTATTCATTTTTAAAATAAAGGGTTCGATATGTATCCAAAGTGCTACCAAATTAAACTATCTGGTTTATACATTTTATTATCAATAACACTACCATTAAGACACAATTAATGATAAAATTACATTACAACTTGACTTGGATTGTTATAAACTGATCAGTGTTTTAACACTGACCAAATATAATGGGTTGTATGTTTAGTCTTAGCAGCTACCCAGAGTTATCATTTGTGTAATTTTCCTATTCTTTTTTCACAATAAAACCCTCAAATTTCAAAAAAATGATACAACCTTCAAAACTCTGTGTGTGTGTGTGTGTGTGTGTGTGTGTGTGTGTGTGTGTTCATGTGTTCATGTTCGGACACACAGGTGCCACCGCAAAAAAAAAAGGACTGGAGGCTCCCTGGTACATCCCATTCCTCCCATGTCCACCCATCTTAGATTTTGCCCAGATTCTGCCAAGTCTCAAAACCTGAGTGGCAAGGATTCAGTCTCAGACATATTCTATATTCTACTTCAAGAGAAAAGGCAACCATCACCAAGGCTACCAAGACGGTCGTGCCTTTCAGTATGGGATGTGGTGCTGCCAGCTGCTTTGGGTTCCTTTTAGGTGCAGAAAGAGAATTTCGGGAATCATTTCTAGTATCTTCAGCTCTAGGAGAAGAAACAGATGAACTGGAAGAAAAAAGAAAAATAAAAACAATTCAGATAATCAGCTTCTTTAAGACCTTTATGCCTGAGGAATTCAAAGCATTTTACCAAACTTAATTAATCTTCTCTGAGATGATGAATTATTATACCAGATTATAAACTGGCATACAGAAATATGGTCCAGCAACTCAGGAGTTCTGAATCCCTTCCTAGTCTTCTAATAAGGTCTAGAGTCTTCTTATCTTACTGTTTGTCATACAGTATGTCTCAAATACCTCTGAAACTATCTTAAATGGTCTTTGAGAAATTTGGTTCCTATTCTAAGTTTGAAGATACTTAGTTTTGTTCTGAACAACTAAAAATTCAAGCTGGGTAATTAATCATGGGTAGTTAGCTCCAGTGGACCTGATGTTGTCTGGCTTGGCTTCTCAGTAGTAAACATATGAGAAACTCAAAAATCTAGTTAAAATGAGTATTTTTCTCTTTTACTGGAGAATTACAAAGTTTCTCACACAAAGCCACTACCACCCAAATGCTAATGGTACAGTGGAACCCATATAGGCAGCCATTGGTTCAAATACCTATGTATAACTGACATAGACAAGTCATAATAGTTGAAGCATCTTTGAGAGTGCACAGAAAAGTAAAGATCGTGGACTTCAGAAGGGCAGAGAAGCTCGGCAGCCTCTCTATCTCAAAGTAAAGCCCCTCCAAACAAGTCAAGAGTGTTCTGACACAACTAACATACTTTTGAAGCTTCTGGCAGGTTCCCGGTGGGTCCTCTGCATCTCTGGGATTTGACAGATGGTGACTCCGTGCATCCATGACTGCTGTGGCTTGCTCAGCTGCCCACTGGGCCTCTGCCAGCCGCTGGTTTTCTCTTAGCTCCAGAATGGTTTTCTGTTGTTCCTGAAGTTTCTTCTGCTGCTGCATGATCAGCTGTTGCTGGAAGATGTGGCAGCTGCAGAAATGCTCCATGCAGCCAGGCTCTGCTTCCCAGCTAGTCCTTGTGGGCTTCTCATCACCACCTGATTGTTGAAAGATTTCCATATCTAGGGTCTCGTGCTGCTTTCTGTCAGGTATGTTTCCAGAGACATTCTGAAGGGGACACTGAACATTATTACCCTTTGTTGTTCTTCCTGGGGAATGACTGAGAATACAACCACTGCTCCCGACTGGTGGCTTTTCCCACAAAGAGGGCATGGTAGTGACCTAGGGAAAAAGATAATGTTCTAACTCAAATACTTAGAGGCCTGGACTGATGAGATCCATCCAGCTTTTGCCTCCTTAGCACAGTTTGTTCAGTGGTACAACTGCATTGCACTCCAGCTAGAGTTTCCCTGTGCTTGAGGCCTCGCCATCTCAGAAGCCACCAGCTTTGGCTTTGTAACTCAGAATGTGCACTGGGTTCACTATGAAAATAAGTGGGAAAGTGGCCAGAGCTGTCAGAACCATTGTCATGAGCCAAGACCCCTGTACTAACCAAGATGCTTTTTGTTTCTTTTTCTTTTCCCTTTGTTTTATGAGACAGGGTCTTATGTAGCCAGGCATGGCTTACAACACACTATGAAGCCAAAGCTGGCCTTGAATTCCTTATCCTCCTGCCTCAACTTCTCAAAAGTGCTGGGATTATAGGCATGCATACCATATCCAGCCTTCTCTTACAAATTTCTCATTTGGAAAATTTATTTTTTGAATTAGACAAACTTATTTCATATATATATTATGAAAATTTTAATATGAAATAAGTGACTCTAAATTTTATAGAAATTTGAAAAATTTATGGAAAAGGATGTATTCTTTCTCAAGAGTGTTTGAAAACTAAGGAATACCCTTACAGATCAACAACAGTTCTGATCTTTCAATGCCTGTCCATCCAGTGCTAAACCAATCCTTTAATACAGTATAGCATATGAATTGATTTCAGTACCAAGATCTAATTTAAAGACTGGTCTCTGCTATTCCTTGACTATCTGTTTTGGGAAAGTACTTGGAAAGCCAGGATTACTAGGCAAATATCTGTACTACATAAGAACAATATTACCTAAATATCTTGTATTAACATATGACTTCATATTTCTTTTTTAGTATTTTATTTATCATTTTTATTTTACATGTATGTGTGTATTGCCTGCATGTAGATAAGTGCACCCGTGTTGTGCAATGCCTGCGGAGGACAGAAGAGGCTGTTGGATCCCCTAGAACTGGAATTACAGACAGTTGTTAACTGCCATGTAGGTGCTGGGATTCAAATCCAGGTCTTCTGCAGGAACAGTCAGTGTTCTTAACTACTGAGCCATCTCCCCAACCCCATGACTTAATATATTTCAAAGATTTACCACGTAAATGTCATTTAATAGAACTCAAACTCAGTTACAAGTTCTATACAGAGGGGAAGGGAAGGAACATTCTTAATCAGGAAAACTTACTCTGGCCCAAATTCATGTCAAGTTAAAATGTCTCTTCTAGAATGGTTTGAGTTCACAAGCTACAGTCGGATCAGCTACTGATTCTGCCATCTGCACTGGCACCAACAGGAAAACACTATGAGCAATCTAATATCAGAAGCTTTTAGCTTTAACAGGGTACCATCCTCAAGTACTCAAAAATATTTTTCATAAAGATGGAAATGCTTTCTGAGACTTAGCTGAAGTGATATGTGGAGACTTTGACATGTTAAAGACTTTAAAAAATAACCTTTTATTTTAGAAATGTCAGTGGACATTTATTCATGAGAATTCCTACTTATGCAATTTAACATCAAGCAGGGTAGATGTTTTAGAGTCTTTTAAACTTTGTGGTAATGACATGTTATTAGCCCAGCAAGACTGTGTAAAAGCCTTGAGTACAGCAACAAGATTTCTTTTGGATCATGGTAACTTTTTAAGATAAAAATAAGAAAATGAAACAAAAGCTTAATGGTGCAGATTGTACTTAAGAGAAAAGGACTGCACAGCCTGGCCTAATTAGAGAAAATCACCTATTAGCTAACTGATAATTCTGAAAAATTTCAAGGTATAGTATTCAAGTATAGTGTATTCTTGGTACATGAATTCCTATGATTGTATAATTAATGAGCATCTAACTGAAGAGCTGGTATTTTCATTTATTCATGTTTCACTGTACATTCTAGAAAATACTGAGTTTACTTAGCAAGCAACAGAGGCTATTCTAGCCCTCTGTTTTCATCTGCTCAATTTTTTACAATATTATTTTTGCTTGATAAAAATTTTTGTTCTTCATCTTTCAGATACATGGAGGCATATTAAAACAAAAAACAAACAAACAAACAAAAAAGGTCTAAACCAGGCATGGTAGCACACAGCTTAAATTCCACTACTCCGGAGGCAGAGACTCCAGGAGGATCTCTATGGGATCCAGACCAGCCTGGTCTACATGGAGAGTTCCAGCCCAGCTGGGGCAAACAGGGAGACCCTGTTTCAACAACAACAACAACAACAACAGCAACAACAACAACAACAACGACAACAACAAAAACCAAAAGTCTAGGGGCTGGAGAGATGGCTCAACATTTAAGAACACTGGCTGCTTTTCCAGGACTGGGGTTCAGTTCCCAGCTACCCACATTGACAACTAACAATCATCCTTAACTCTAATTCCAGAGGATCCAGTATCTTCTGACCTACTTAGGCATTTCAAACATGGGTGCATTTATACACATGCAGACAAAATACACACATAAAATAAAAAATTATTTTTGAAAAGAAAAAAGTCTAAACATATATATATATGTATACATTTATAAAGTAATTGTTTCTGTTTTGCACAGGAAAAATATTTTCTGCTGACTTTTTTCATTTAAAAGTAATAACAGAACTTTGTAGAAAAAAAGGTTCTACTCAGCTATTTCTTAAGATACAAATCTCTTCTGGGTCTCAGCAGAGACAAAATTATCTAGCTGATAAAAAGGTAGATAAACTGCCAGAAGAAAGGGACCAAAATGCTACATAAGCCCCAATAATCATTCTTTTGATTCCCCTTTGCTGAGCGACTAAGCTTAAATTAAAGCTAGCCTGCTTACTACCAGTAATCAGGGTTAAAAAGCAAGGTAAGACCCTCAGGTGCCCAATTTAATTTTATGTGCCTACATACTTAACAGCATTACAAGGAGGCTGGAGGTAGAGGATCTTCACTAAAGGCTTTCTAACAAGACAAGTGCAATGAAGGAAGAAAAATGTGTTAGGCTTGATCTCATAAAAAAATGAGCAACTGGACATAGTACCAAACACCATAACCAAGCTCAAATGACAAAGTGGACAAAACGTTTACAACATACATAATAACATAAGCATCAGCAGTCTTAAAATATAAAGAGCTCCTATAAATAAGAAATAGAAATATACTCAAATAGAAAAATGGACAAAGGGCACTAGGAGACACGCTACTACGTTTCTGTCTTTCTATATCCATATATATCCAATATAAAAAAATTTTAACCTCACTAGCAATAAAAATCCAAATAATAAACAATAAGATGAAAATAGGACATGCATTCCATTTTTAAACATTCACCCTCAGTAAAGCATCTGGATATATGTAAAGACTCAGCTACCACACTGTGTTGAAGCATCGTTTAAAATAGTGGCAAACTGCCTTGCCCTCTAAGGTCATCTAAGCTCCAGGGGACTATGGAACATCTCTCAAAATGTCCTGTTACTGTGGTGAGTCACCTGTCCTCTTGTTCAGGGAGACCATGGAGACCACACCAGATGGACTTGAACCAGTGAACAGTCTACCTGCCATGGTTGAGCAGGACCTTTGACTTATCTTCACATAGATGGAACTGGTAAAAGAAAGAAGCCAGGGGCTCCTCCCAAGCCCATGTGACCCCTGAGGAACAGATCCTCAATCAACCTTAAGTATAAAAAATAAATTGATTTATTTTGGCCAACTGTATGGTCTTAAACACCCAAAAGGAAAGTATAACCAAAGAGTAAAATGATTAGTATATTTCTTTAAGAGTTCAAGGGATTATACTTCCCAGACATTAGGCTTAAATCCATATAAAAAGTTATGTAGACAATTATTTCTCATTGATGATTTTGTTCCTAATCAGAAAGTGCTGCTTAGATATAAGACTTCAAATCCTGGTCTGCAACACTGTAGTGCTCACCTGTAGCTAAGGGAGACAGCGAGCTATTGTTCTAAAATGATGGATAGATTTCTTTTCTCTCCCTATCTAGAAGCCTTTGAGAGGGAACTGACACTGCTTCTAACCACTCCAACAGCTATCAAAATACCTGAAAGCAACCCTGAATCCATCACTCTCAAGTCCAGCCTTGGAAGACAAAAAGAAAAATGAGGGGGAACCCAATAGAGGGATGCTTTTGGAAGCTCTCATCAAGAAATTCCAATGGACTCTCATATGGACATTTGAAATTTGCCCTGTTCTGACTTTTTTCTAGCTCCCTGTCTAGAACTTGTGATGCTAATAACTCTTGCCTTTACTTCTCCTTCACATCTCCTATTCACCAGTCAAGGACTTTCTTTTCCCCCTACAGATAAGAGATATGCAATTTGGGAGTCTTTTAGATAGACTCACTGAAGGGGTACCCCAATTGCCTCACCCTATATCCCTGTTCAGCATGGAAGAAGCCAGAGTGATCTGCTTCCCAATTCCCTATCTGCAAGTTGGATAACCTCTTCAGAGGATGGTGAGATAAGAATAGGAGGTAGGAATTGGCTAGGCAGTTAGTGTAAAAAGACCCCAAAGAAAGGTAGCTAGTTTCTTGGCTAAAAGACCCCTGAGGAACAGATCCTCAAGCGACTTTAAGAGTAAAAATAAATTGGTTTATCTGGGCCAACCGTATGGCCGTAAACACCCAAAAGGAAAGTATAACCAAAGATTAAAGGGGCCAATATAATTTCTTAAGAGTCCATATGCATAGCTAAAGGCTACATA